TGGCCTCATATAGGATTCTTGTTACTGCAAGCCGCAACAACTAGATACGCCGTCAAAGCTGTGGAGGTTGAGAGGTAGGCGAAGATAGGCTACACAAACCACAGACAAGGGGAACAGACCCTTAGCTCCCATTAGGGAGAAATAGTATTAACAGAACTGTCAAGCAAACACGGGGAAGCACTCACTTTGTAGCAGTCGTATCTGCTGAAGGATAGCATGGGATTCCCAGGAAGGGACAGGCAGCCTGCCGCTGGACATGCTCAAGGAGAAGCCAGGTGACAATTCAGCACGATGTGGTAGAGGAGGTGCTAGCACAAGTGTGGCTCCCGGATCAAGGACTTTTAAGATTAGAGAAAAACTCACAGCCATGTTGATCACCTGACTGCCAATCCACGAACCCATGCCCATGAGTCTTAATCGGGCAGTCATACATATCTACAGTTCAATCACTCTACCCTTTACTTCTAAACCACTATTTCACACCTGCTCCTCAAAGCGTCCCACCACTTCCTCTCTACCATCCTCATTCCTGGCTCCTATTGCTGAGAGAATGGCATCCACCAGAGGGAGGCTCCACAAACTCCCACCAACACGCTTCTATATCTACTGGTCTCTGCACCCAGGTGCTCTTTTCTCACTGGCTGTCACAGCTGAACTTTCCATGCTCCTAGGGAGACCACTGGTGCAACAGGTCCCATCCCTTTCCACTCCCCTGGAGCCATTGTCTCAGTTCATCTCTACTCCCGCCCCATCCTCTGCTCACCTCCCTGTGAACTCTGCTCCATCTCGCTGGCCTTTCTACTCTTGTGCAGACATCAGGCACACGCCTGTCTCAGCCACATTCTTTGTGTCCTATCTGCAGAAAAGCTCTTCTAAAAGACAACCATTTGCATGACACAAAACTGACCTCATTTACAATGATTGCATTTAAAAGTAAACCTTAAAAAAAAGTTAATCTAACTGCAGGCTCTTCATAAAAGCTGTTTAAAACAGAAGACTGCAGCAATGGTAGAAGAAATGACTGGATAAACAAAATTCCATGCAGACCCTCACCATAATAATGGTAATACAGTCATATTAATTCTGAGTAAAATTAACTTTAAGGCAAAAATGTCACAGAAATAATAAGGGCCACCTCATAATTAAAAAGATTAAAGATCTGCAGTATGATTACAGAATCCAAATGTATATGGACTTACTTAATAACACAATCTCACAATATATAGAGCAAAATTTCATAATTAGAGTGGGACATTTTAAATCTGCTTGTTTGATTAATTCTCTGTTTGAGAGTGGCCTTTTTATATCTCATTCTCTACCATTTGACAGGGAGCACTGTGAAGTCAAGGCCCTGTTTCGATCTTACTATATCCCAGGTGGCACACATAGTGGTGGGCACAGCGTGGGTTGGTGTCTTTTCATTAGGGTTTACCGGATCAAACTTCCATCAGCAATAACCAGTGAGAGCACCATGTTCTGAAGTAGTACATGCTTTGAGAATGCTCTTTGCCTCAGAAGAGTCTATGTTTCCGGATTGAAATCCATCCGTCTCTGGCTCCCTCGCCCACCCCGTCCTGATGGCACTGGGATTGAATGAATTTAGGAGGTCAGCCCTTTTAAACAATGGGGAGCATTGCAGGGAATTTAAAGTACATCTTTTTCTCTTCTTTCTTACAAGGTCCTGGGCTGGGCATGGCTTCTATTAGAAGGATCCTTTCTGGGCAATTACACTTCCATCCTCAATAATGTATCTGGAAGTTGACATTTAGGCTCTTCAATTATTCAAATGATCAGATTTTTCATTTGCAACTCTTCTGGAAGCTCCCATGGCAACTGCTGTGCGTGCTTGTGGGTGTAGTTTTGCCTCTGTCTTCAGCAGGCCCTTAGCCAAGGGATGGCAATCCAGGCCTCTCAAGACCCTGTCCAGACCACAATGACAACTTGGAGGTTCCTGAAAGTGCCATGCTCCTGCAGAGGCTTAAACAAAAGGGAATCTGTGTGGATTCAGAGAGTTCACAGGTTTTGGTTTTCCCTGGGTTGACACTATTATTTATTTGTGCCATGCATTTGCCCCAGTTGTTTCTCCGACTTTCCCTGCTCCACGTCTTGAGAAGCTGTGTTCTTGGACCCCGTCATGCAGGCCCCTTGCTCTCTGACCGGGTCCAGGCAGTGAGGGCATTGCTTGGAGATCTGACTGAAAAGTCCAGCCAAGAGGGGCTAGGGGATTTCTTCTCTACGGGCTCCCTGCTTTGGTGCTATGGTTTCACGATTATGGCTCCTTCTGGGTATCCTCCTCCACGAGCCCCCTGGAAAACCAGGAAGCCATTTCTCTCCTTGCTTTCTAGCCTTCTAGCTGGTTACGGACTCACACTGTTGTCAGTTTCTGGGTGCTGCTAACCTGTCAATTCTGGTCTTAAATGCATCAAGTTGTCTTGTAAAACCCACCTGTGTGCAGCACTCGAGGGCACAGCTGTGCAGTCAGGGACTGTTGCCCGTGTCTCTTCCCTCCAGGCGGGGCTGGCATCTCAGCTGTGAGCATCTGGACCTTCTGAGCTGGTATTCTCAGGACCGACAGTCTGTTTACAGGAAGGTCTCTTATCTGGACGATCTTCTCCATGCAGGTATGGAGGATGCTGTTTCTCCTTTTTTTTAATGTTCTATATATTTACTTGCAAATCAGAGTGAGAGAAAGAGAGAGATCTTCTATGTGCTTGCTTCATTCTCCAAGACGGCTGGAACAGCCAGGCTGGCCAAGGCGGAAGTCAGGAGTTGTTATCTGGGCCTCCTGTATAAGAAAAAGGGACCAAATACTTGCTGCTTTTCTCAGGTCATTAGCAGGGAGCTAAATCAGAAGTGGAGCCATTGAAACATGGACTGACATCCATATGGGATGGCGCATCTCAGGAGGCAGCTTCATTTGCTACAGCTCATTGCTAGCTGGAAGATGCCATCTCTGTCACGAGCTATCACAAGCCCCCAAAAGACCCATCAATAGAACAGGGTGATGCTGAAGGTGAGTGGATGGAGGTTGGGGGTTCTGACAGGCCTACAAATTCTGGAATTTTTAGGAAAAACCACTTATACTCTGATGTTAAGTTGGAGATTAGTTTTCACATTCTCTTGTTCTAGAAGGCAGTGATTCTAAAACTAAGATCTGCTGACCAGCGACATCTACATCACCAGGGAACCTTTTAGAGTTGTAAATTTGGGGGTGCTTAGAATGTTTCTTAGTCCTGGGGTCAGTCAGTCATTGCCTGACCCACCAGGATTCCTGGTTCATTTGTAAGGGTTAAGTGCTCCTTTGTAAAAAGATTAGAAAAAACCTCTCCAATGCTGATGCCTTGCAGGGTTGTCCTGTGGAACTTTTCCTGCTACCGCGTGGATGGCAAACTGTGACAATGGGAACAGTTGGGGAATTCTGGAGTTCTGGAGCAGGGAAGCCACAGGGGACAGCAGAGATAGTTCTGGCTATGACAGGTCTTCCTGGGCACTCCCCTGGTGCTGCTTGAAAGGCGGCTCTTGGCCAGCATACTTCCCACGCCTGCTTGGACATGTCCAGGACAGGAGGGGAACTATTAACGGGGGTTAAATGCCAAGGCCGATAGACTTTCCCAATATTACCTTTTGTATGGCTATCCCAAGGCTCAAGACTTTACTGCTTGTCCTAGATTGTGGTCCTGATCCACCCACCCCTTCTCTTCCTATTATATCATGGTCTTGCCATCTCACTGCAGTGTGACACCAGCCAGATGACCCTTGCATTGTTCTTCCTGATGCTGGGTCCCATGGGCCTTGCCCAGCCTCACCCCGGTCTGGAGGGCAGGCAGAACACCAGCAGGGGCAGGTGGGAGACTGCTTGGCCACCTCCTTCCTCTGGGCAATGCTCACAGTCTGGGGGTGCTCCCTACATTTGGCTGTGCCCACTTTAGAAGAGTGAGGCTGAGCTTGCTTTCTCAGTGACTGAGTAGGGCATTCTGGGGAATCTGGATTTGGAGATGTAGAGGTGAGAGACGGGCGGTTGTTCACAGACCTGCCTGGCTGGAGTGTATGCTTGAAATCTCCCATTTTGGCCTGAACTTGCCCTCCTGGAGTGCTGCATGAAGCTGGTAGTTCTGGGATAGGCCATGGAAGACGAAAAGGGAGAACATGGATTCCAGCTGGCAGGAACTGTGTCTGATGCGGTGCCGAACCATTTGGGGGTTCTGACTTTGGTTTAGATAACAGCAACCATTTGTGTTTGTGCCTCTCAGTGTGTATGTGTGTGCCCTTACTTGTACAGTCTTCCTGCATTTCTCATCTGCAAGGTCCCAGACAAGTCAAATGACCTGACTTCCATTTTCCTTGGTATAACAGGAGTAGTAACTTCTCCTTGGGTGGCAAAACAAAACACGATACATAAGGCTCTTAGCCTAGTGCCACATGCCACATGCAGGTTACTGGAGCTGCTGTGCCTCTGTTTCCTTGTCTGTAAAATGGGGCACACCAGAGCTGTTATGAGCTGTTAGAAACACTGACACCTGGGACATGCCTTGCACTGTGTGGTAAATGTGAGTGGTCGAAAGCTTGATAGAATACGTTAGCGTGAGAATCTCTGATTCTGCCTGTGCATATTTGCATCTACGTGTACACATACGTGTGTGTTCTATGTGCTTGTATGGCCAGCTAGGCTTCCTCTGTGTGGATGGAGTTTGCTGTTGGCCCAGACCTGGACTCCCTGAGCCAGCCTGGGCCGGCGCCGGAGATGGAATTTCCATTAAGAATTCAGCAGGATAGCATTGGGAAGCCAGGCAGTGTGGAGGAGGGGGTCGACAGGGAGGACATGTTGCACTGCCTTGGGCAGCCTGGGGCCTGAGCTGCCTGCAGGAAGCCATCTGTCAAGCTTTCTCTTGAGCCATAGGCCTTCCAGGGGCCATGGCCCAGAAGGATGGGCAGGGAGAAGGCAGCCATGCACAGGGGCTTCCGTAAGGAGACGTGGAGTTGCTGTGGCCGAGGCTGCAGCCATGAGGCGGCCCTCTGGGAATGGAGAGGCAGCCGGCGAGGGTCCAGGTGGCTGCGGCCAGTGGGGAGCCCAGGAGCGCAGGCGGCTGTGTTGTGCTGTATGTATCTGGGGTGGGGTGGGATAGGGGGGAGTGTGTGGGGATATATGTTAGGGAATGGGGTGGGGGAGGGGAAAGGCTGCAAGGGAGCATCAAGCTCTCTGTCCCCTTTCTCCCCTCCCTCTTCCCCCACACCTAAAATCCAGCCACAGGATCAGGATCTGGAAATAAAATACCTCTGAGGCTTTTGGCTGACACTGATGCTGTTTATGCTCCGGGCCGCATTCTATTTCTAGCATATTAAGAATACGCTTGCTTTCCAGGTCTTTTTTTTTTTTAATGCCTGACTTCATTTCCTATTTTCAATAACTTTATGAGGTAGACAGAGATTTTGCAGGGGCAACCTCAGCTCAGAGAGGTCCAGAGACGTATCCAGGGCCACACAGGGCCAGAGTGGTAGACACCGCTGCACAGCCGGAGCTGTGAGCCCACAACGTCCAGACTTGCCTTTCACCACACCACAAGGCAGAGAAGATTCTGCAAACTGGCCGCCTGAGGCACACATGGTGGCTGCTGTGATAAGGCCCCTGCCCAGTGGCTGTGGCGGTCCTGGTTGAGATACACACCCAAGCTCTGCTCAAGAAGTTGGGGAGTACAATCAGGCTGCCCTGGGGTTGTAGGCTGGGGTCAAAGCCGGCTCGTCTAAGCAGAATGGCATGGTCACCCCACAGCCTTGGGCCTTCTGACAGCTTAAGCAGATGAGCGAAGGTCAGGAGCTGCCAAGAGTTCAAGGCCAGGCAGCCAGATGGAAGCCTGGAAAAGAGAGAAGGCAGAGAAAGGAGGAGGCGCTGAAGTGGGACTGTGGAGTGTCGTATGTGATGGGAATGGGTTGATTTCGCCCTCTTTACACACGTGGTGAGCAGACTGCCTGCTCTTGAGGGATTTAGATAAGCTGCCAGAGAACTTCCCGCCAATGGGAGAGCTCATGCTTGGTCCAAGGGAGGCCAGGGCGGCTTTTTCCTGGGGATACCGCAGTCGTGGCAGGGTGGAGGTAGCTGGATGGAAAGACCCCAAGGGTTCCTCCAGCTCAAGAATGCAGCCTTCCTGGGGTGGGGGTCGGGACCAGGCTTCCTGTGGAGATTCCGCCATTTGCCACGGAAGCTAGCAATCCGGAGTCCCTGCCGCCCTGTTCGGCAGGTGGGTTGGTGAGGAGGTGATTTGCGTGTGTGCTACGGATTCCAAAAGGAAACACCTGTCAATGCGGAAACCGAGTGGTGTTCCAGGCTTTGGGGGCTGCTTGGCGTTGGGCGGCTCCTTCCCCATACCACTGAACTGCTCCCAAATCCCTCTCCGTTTTGTTTCGGTTCCAAGGGAACCCGTCACCGCCTCGCACTCCCTCTTCCCTCTCCAGATGTTGGCACGCGGGGCACATGTGGGCGCCCCCGCCGGGTTGACTCGGCGGCTCCCGGGTGCCTCCCGCCCGATCCCAGGAGGGAGCCGGGTCTCTAATTAGACCCGGCCGCAGCCGCGTTCCGGCGAGCCCCTCCGGGCGCGCGCGCCGCTCCCCTGCCCCGGGGGGCGCCGGCCCCGAGTGGAGCGCGGCCGGAGCCTGACGCGGGACGGAGGCTTGGCAGGGAGCGCGCCTCGGAGCCGGCCGGCGGGGGGAGAGCGCGGGCGGGGCCGGGGGGCAGCGGGCGGCCGCGGGCTGGGCCGGCCCGGGAGGCGGCAGCGGCCACTCTGCGCCGCGGCCTCGGGAGCTGCAGCCGCGCGCCGCCACCGCGGGCCCCTCGCACGCACGCACGCACACACGCGCCCGGTGAGTGAGCGGAGCCGCGCCGCCCGGCGGCGGGCGGGCAGGAGGGATGCAGGGGAGTGCCGTGAGGCTGCCAGGCTGACTGAGGACAACAGAGCAGGCTCGTGACTGTCTGCAAAGTCGGTGTGAGTGGGCGAGGGTGGCTACGAGAGTGTGCGTCCCTGGAAGAGTGAGCCTGGGCTGGCATGCCAGCTCGTGGAATTTTCTAGCTGTGTGTGAGCCCGTGGGGCCCTGGAGTGTGCCTACAGGTGGCTGTAGTTCTGCGTGGCACCTGCTGCCCTGCCTGGAGGGAGGGACGTTCCTGTATGGGGTCAGGGAGCCTAGTGTCTCTCCATCCTGAGTGGCTGAGTCTGGCAAGCAGCAGGTAGGTGAGGGGCGTTATCTGAACCTCAGCTTTCTACAGCGTCCCGACGTGCCCTGCCCTGCCCGAGTGTCTTCTCTGTGGGTCAGGCAGCAGCTTTGGTTTCCCAGGGCAGGGCCAGCCCTCACTGAACCAGGGGAAGTGAATGGGACTCCGTTTAAGACCAGGGTGGGGGAGATGAAGTAGGGTACCTCACTCTCCAACCAGAAGGACAAGGGGGTGAGTGGCCCGCGCAGACACCCCACACGCTGTGCACCCACACACTCGCAGCTTCTCATGTGCACACACATTCCTGCTGCCCATGTGTCAGATCTTGCTCATACTCCCTCCTGGGACACCCATGCAAACATGGTCAGTGTGTACACTGGTGGAAGGCAGCAGGCCTGTAACACACCCACATTGCAAAATGCATAGGTACAAACATGTAACCCTGGCCTGGCCCTGCAGACCTGCTTCTGTTCCCTTCCCTTCGCTCTTTAGCACACTGTATCCTACGTATGGTACCCATGGCAATAGGGCCATGAAGTGGCCCAGTAGGGAGTATTTGGAGTCAGGGGTTTGGTTGCTGAGTCAGGATAGGCAGTGGCATGTTGCCTGTGAGGTGACCCAAACAGTTTGGAGCTGAGGCTGCCCCCAGCAGAGCTCTGCCAGAGAGCAGCCTTGGGTCTCTCTCTACTTGGGGAGCATTTGGCCTTTGAGAGGCAAACAGGCCGTTCCCACAAGGCGAGCTGGCCAGGCTGGGGTCCCAGGTGGAGCTCAGCCTCTGCAGTTGGCTGCTGCTTGTTGTTAACTTCTGGAGGCACCTTGTGGCAGGGGAGCAGCCAGCCAGCATCTTCCTGGGTCTTCAGGATTGGGGCCACACACAGACAGGCAGGAGCAGAGGGCTGAGCGGGGCTGGCTCCTTGTGTTCAGGAACCAGTAGCACTCCCACCTGCAGCCAGAGAAGGTGTCTTGGCTCTGCTTCCCTCTCTCTCTCAGGGTTGATCTCTTATCAGTCTTCATCTGCAGCACTTGCTCCCTCTGGAACTGCAGGGGCACCATACCCGGGGCCTGCAGGAGATGAGATGCCTCCCAAGGCCATCTGCTGGTGGTGGTTACCATTGTTGCAGTGATGACGGCTTCCAGCCATCTCCCATCCTGGCCACTCTCTTCTGTACAGGCTTCCATGAGGTGCCAGACCATGTGCTCTGCCCATGTGGTACTGACTGGCATCTTTGTGATTTGTACTGAAGTCTCACCTACTGGCTCCACGGACATGTAGGGGGCAAGTTGGCTCCAGTGATACCTTGAGGTGGGTGCTGAGCCTGTCTTCCTCTCAGTCTCATCCAGGTCTGGCCCTCGATGGTGACTGAATAAGGACAGGCCATGGGCAGTTCAGCAGCAGTCTTCCTGCAGCATGATGGTGGAGGAGGAGAGATTTCTCTGCCATTTCCCTTTTGTTGCTGCTAGGAGACTCTTGGTCATCGTATTGCCCCTTTCAAGTAACTGTGCTAGTTGGAGTCATGGCTTTGCTTTTTAATTTTTGTTAACAGCTTTGCAGAATAGGTATCTTTAACTGAATTCCCGAATGTCTTTCATAGAAAGAGACTAGATTGATAAATGAACAGCCAGTAACTGTGCACTCTATTGGTCTCTGAGGATGAGAAGTGTATTGCATGCATATTTGGGGATAGCCTTCCAATTTCAAGTATTTCATCTGGTTTTTAAACCGTATGTTTCAATTTTGGCTTCTGTATGTCTTGACTTTCATCTGCAATCATGTCTTAGGGCTTTTCTTCTAGTGGCTCTAAGAGAGAATGCCTGTCTCTGTGCTGGCTCAGACAATGGGAATTGTTGAGAATGAATTGGGCTGTTGATCAGCACCCTCTTCTCTGAGTGTTTCAGCTGCCAGCTTCTCCCTGTCTCAAAAGCTCAAGTGTCTGAGTGCCCCAAGGCATTCGACCCTTGCTGTCAGTCTGGTCCTGTCCCTTGGCCAATGCTTCCTAGTATGACCTTGCCCAGGGCTCTGCCAAGGGGTCTTTGTCTCTTAGCTCTTGAGTTCTGCCTCTCGCTGCATGGGCTTCTGCAAGTCTGATCAGGGATGGCCCTTTTGGAACTTGACCTTTGAGTGTATGTGGGCACATGGGGTGTTTGCTACCTCTTGGCTGGGCCCATGAGGTCATAAGGGATCTCAAGTCATTCGAATGGTTAGGGACTCATGTGTCACTTGGTGTGTGGAGAGGAGTATGCTATCTGCTTATAGAGCAGGCCATAGTGTGAAGCTGATTATGCTTCTAGATCATTCAGCTGAAGACTAGCTACTTTACCCTGCCCTAGGCTGTTATGGATGTTTGGGGAAAGCAGTGCTGGAGAGCAATGCTTGTGTGCCAGGAGTGATTATAACAAAGGTAATGGGGGCTTCCACACCTCGTGTTGGCATTCTGCTTCTCAGTGTGTATCAGCTCAACCCGAGCCAGTGGCTGCTGCTCATGTTCAAGACTAATCCTCCCGGCAACAATGGTTCAAAACCCCGGAAAGCCCATGGCCGGTATAGCTGGGTCTCTATATCCTTGGGCTGCACATCTGTGGATTCAAGCAAACACAGATGGAAAAGAATTCAAAAAAATATGTCTCTACTGAACACATACAGCCTTCTTTTTCCTTGTGATTACTCCCTAAACAGTGCAGAATAACAGCTATTTTTGTGGCTTTCACATGGTTTGGGATTATAAGTAAACTAGAGATGATTTAAAGTTCACAGAAGGATGTGTATGAGCTATCTGAATACAACTTTTTATGTAGGGGACTTGAGTATGAGCAGATTTTGCTGTCTGTCAGGTGTGCTGGACATAGTTGTCGCAGAGACCAAGGGACCAGTGTGTGGGTCACAGCCTTGTTCTCTCCCAG